CAGAACAAAAGTTGAAGCTTCATCTCCAAGCACTGCACTATAGTGTATAATGTAGGAATGGCTGACAAACTGTTTAATCTTTTACATCTGTCTGATCTTATACTAGATACTGGCTTAGTCAAGACTCAGAACTTTAATTTAGGAAGCAACATATTATATATTAAAACAACCAGAAAATTGGGCTCTGAATGAAACACAGAGATAATACTGATTTCTGTGAGACATGGGGCACTTGACTCTACTTAATTGGCATTCGAGTAAATCCCAGTGTGGGTAGAGAATAAACCAAGTTACAATAACTATTCCCATTTGGCTAAGGCATATAATCTGGCAGATCTTAAGTGTGAACCATGGAATGAACCGGAACAGAGGTGCAGTCTCCAGAGTCTGTCTCACCACTGGAATGCAGGGTGGAGAGGAGGTGGAATCAGAGAGCTCTCACTGTGGGTCCTGCTTACTACAATTGAGGAAGCAGTAATAGTCATGTGATTGCACGATATTTGTTAAGGTCTGGTTCCAGATTAGTGCATCTACAAGTTCTTAGAAAAATAGATTAGTGAATAAACTGGATGTAGGATGTGTATATGTAAAGCCATTTCAGTACTCAAATGAGATAAAAGGGCCTAGGGGTGAGGGTGCTGTGGCAGATGTGGTGGAGGAGGGCAGGCATGTGAAGTACAGTAAATAAGGAGGCTCAATGCTACAGTCAAGTCACGGGTACCAAATCTCGATTAGTATCAAGTTCCTCTGAGATTTTATTTCATTAATTGTGTGTGTGTGTGTGTGTGTGCGCGTGTGGTACATGCCCACATGTGTGCAATTGTGAATGTCCATGTGCATGTGGAAGACACAGGAGGATATTAGACAGGCTGCTCTATTGCTTTTCATCTTACTCCCTTGAGAAAGGTCTCTATTTTATTTGTAACTCAGTTTCTCATGGTGGAGTCCAGGCTTTCTGAATCTGGGGTAGGGTTTGCTATTTTACAGGATATCCTAAGTGATAGTGAAGTTCTTTCAGATCAAGAACTACAGCCTTCTTGGACTTGATTTAGATGTTTGGGGTGTAACATGACAGATGTGGAGACATTTAAGATGGCAGCCAGCTCTCTGAATGTTGTGACTGAATAAATGTTAGGCATCTTTCATAAGCGCGGAAATAGCAATGGATTTGGAGGGCAAGGTGCTGAATTCAGTTTGGGGATGTTGAGATGGACTGGTCCTATTGGTGTTTTAATATCAATATTTAAAACTTTTAGTTTTGGGGTAGTTGCTCTATGGGTTATTTTTTATTTTAATTCTTTATTTTCAGAAATTAAAATATAATTATATTATTTTCCCCTTCCCTTTACTGGACCCTGCCACTTCCTTTTACAACACACATACTCTCTGGCTCTCAATTTCAAATTCATATCCTCTTTCTTAATTGTTGTTTCATATGTGTATATTCCTAAATATATGAGTACAGCCTACTAGTTTATGTTACTAGACATGGTAGCATGGAAGGAGGAAGTATCACAGGGCCTCAACCTTACACAAAGAATTACAGTCAGTGAAGAAATGCTGAGACCAGGAGGCTCAGTCTTCCAACTGGTTGTCCAATACCAAAGGATAAGCCTTGAAATGATACACACACAACATGCCCATAGTTATCTATATTTTATAGAGCACTAAAAGAACCCCAATCTTTAAATTTCTTTCAGTTATCAAATAATATCTTTTAAGTGATTGTCTTTATAGTCCTTTATTCAGTCTATTTGCTGTTAAAAATTAAATTGTATCTGGGTGTGGCAACACATCCTTATAACCCCAACATCCAGGGGGCAAAGGCAAGAGGATATCTGTGAGTTCAAGGCCATCCTGATCTGCATAGCAAGCTTCAAAACAGCCAGGACTATGTAGAGAGACTCCATAGAAAAGAATCGACCAGCCAGCCAGCCAACCAACCAACCAACCACTTAAATTTTCATTTTTTTTATCGTTCCTTAAATCTTAGAAACATGAAAGGTGATGCTCCTGATTATTCTCCTGAACCTGAAAGCAAGATGCTATTGCTGAAACCACCATATCCTTGAGTCAGAAAACATGGATAAATCAATCTGGCCCTAACCTGGAAGCTTCATCCTTGCTGACTAACTTTCATAGTGCTAGAAGGGTCTGTTTATGTCACTAAGGAGAAAAATATTTATCAATTATACTTAGCTGTGAACTCTATGAGATAAAATAATAATTTTTATGGCAAGAAATGCCCACTTGTACAATAGTGGCGCAAATGAGAGCAACCAATAACTCCCTGGGTGGATTTAAAGCTCAATCTACAAGGCAGAACTCATGCCCGGTACTGTGACTGGCTAGGTCATAGGCCTAGGGAAGAATACACTACTATCATTCTGCTAAATGGGCATAATATTAAATCATTGCTAAGATTTTTCTCTTCATACTCAGCTTAGTACTGTACTCTCAGCAGAAGAGCATCTTTTGGTAGTAGATGCTAAGTAATACAAAGACCCACAACCAGCCATTGGGCAGAGAGTAAGAGATTATTCAGTGGTCAACTCGATTGGGAGGTCTGTATTTTACCCTTTCCACCTCAAGGCTCAGGCATCATAGCAAGAGGGATGGGAGCTAGTGAATGTCTGTAGTGAAACAGTATTTGCTGGGCATGGCGGTGCTGTTACACACACATGAACTCACAGTGGCTGTGACTGTAGGCATATGACCCACACAAGAGCAAGCCAGCAAAATCTCAGTATGCATTGGGGAGAAGCCTCGTGAAATTCCCTTTTAGGTGAGATGCTAATGTCAAGTAATGGCTGTGGAAGGAAGGAAACTGTTTTCCATGGATGCAGGCGAGAGGTCACCCGTGCTCCAGTAGATGCTCCTACACTCATGCGCATACAGGCAGAGCTAAATGGGTCTTAAAAGATAGAACACATGAAGTTTCGAGGGAAAAGTGGTGGGGGGTGTAAGAGAGGATTTGGAAGGAAAGAAATGGGGAGGGCATTTGATCACAGCGTGTTTATATGCATATGTGAAATCCACAAGCAATAAAAATGAGCAACATACTATCATCAATACTTATTTGGATCAGTTCATAGATTTATACAAGCAACCTTTAGGGAGGTTATGTAAGTTGTCCAAGGTAATGCAGAACCAAAGCATTAAGCCATGTTTTTTTTTCTTTTTGATAAAATTGCACATGCTAGGAAAAAAACCCTACCCCTAACTACATTAACAGTCTCTGAGCCAAAACAATTGGATCCAAGTGTCTTTTGGACTCAGAGTTTTGGGGCATTCATAGTGTCTCTTGTATCAGACAGTGAATTTCTATATACAGTATGACTTACGACTAACACATTTTCTGCAGAGTAATTCCAGATTCTGTCTAAACATAAAAATATTCATGTTGAAAATGAGGTCAGGGCCTTTTTGATAAGTGGGCTACTTTTTAAAATAATACTTAAGTGACTTCCCAAGGATTGGTATGATTGGACTGATCAAAGCACCTTCCCAACTTTATCAGCGCCATAGGGGTCATCTACATTTTTTGTACTCTCAAAACGGGTTGGAGAGAGATGTGACCCTGTGTTCTGTTTCTGCATGCTTTGCCTCCAAACACTGCCCCCACCTTTGTGTGTGTGTGTATGGTGTATAGGTGTATGTACACGTTTATATGTGTGCACATAGGTGTGTGCAGGTGTGCATGCATGTGTGTGTGTGTCTGTGTGTGTGTGCATATGACGTACAGAGGTGTAAGCTGGTTATCTCCCTCAACTGCTCTTCAATAAGCTAGGAAATAGCCATAGAAGTAGGGTCCCTGGCTGAACCAGAGCTCACTGACTTAGTTAAGCGGGTCATCCAGGGAGGTCTAGGGATCTGTCTTTGCTTCCTCAGTTCTGGGATCACAGATGTGGGCTTCCAGACCAGCTCTTGAATGGGTACTGGGAAGTCCAAATTCAGGTGCTCTAAATAGAGCCCTCTCCCCAATCCCTTCCAATAAGCTGTGGAGACATATTTACCTTGGCACTGATTATAACATGAGCTATTGGTAGCCCAGGTAGAAAAGATGTTTCAATACCAATGCTGATTTTTTTTTAGTTTTGGATAAATACAGACATCTGCTATCTTTTCTTGGTAACACTGGCAAGTGTGGGATGCACTAGTCAGAAACACGCCGGTCATTACGAAGTCTGGCTGGTTAAGTTGATGTGCTAAAAGAAGTTGCATACTTTTTCATATGATGAATCACACAGTTGAAACTGAGTGGCACCATCTGGGCCAACAACTATAGCAATCATACTTAATCTCCATCAATGACAGATAGCTAAGATAACGCTGACCCAGGTGGCGGCTCAGGCTGCACTGCCTCAGAATTCTGATTTGAGGCAACAGATATGCAGATACAATGATGGCTTTTCCAAACGTAACATGGTAAGACTATCATAACGTTAATAATCCTCAATAAACAGTTGTTTGCTAACATTCAGGAGAACAGCAGCTTCTACCAATGTTTAAAATATTTGGGCTATCCTATATTCAGGCAGAGAGACGTCTATCAGTAAGAGTTGGGTGCCTGGCTTGCCTCCAGCATATACAAGTGAGAGTAAGGGAACCTTCCCCAACTAGGAAAAGGCGGTCTTACTGCAAAGGTGTTTCTCTCCAGTCCAGCCCAGCCCTGGCCAGTGTAGTCCTTGTTCTTCGGGTGTGCCTGTTTATCCCTACCACACCTACTCCTGTTCTGGCTCCACACCAAAGAACACACATACTCCCCTTTTCTTTACATGTCTGGGTGTCTTGGGATCGCTGGCAGTCCCTCACCTCCTTCTCTTCCCCTGTGTGTCCAGATAGGTGCACAGTCTCTTGTTTATTCAATTCCTGGCACATAGTAGGCGCTTAATGCCTACTTTCCCCCCCAGATTTGAATTTGACTTTTCTTTTCCTGTTTATCCATTCCTCTTAGCTCCACCCCTTCATTTTATGACCTCTTGATTTTTGTCCTTCAGAAGTGTCTGTACAAAAACCCAAGAAGCAGGACAGTCCAGTGGAGAGAGCCTGGATCTTGGGGTCAGAAAGGCCTGAAGTCAAATTGCCACTTGACTACTAGCTACCATGATAAACGCTAGTAAGTTACTCTTTGGACCTTGATTCGTGCACGCGTACCTTCTAATTAAAAATGTTTAAGTCGCTGTCCTAAATAATGGGGTTCATTATGATACTTTACACATGCAGACCATTGTGCTTTGATCACATTCTACATCTTTAAAATTGGTATTAAAAGGTTCCTATTAAATCATTGTTGCTAGGACAAAGAAAAAAAATCGGATCCAGAGGATGTGACAGTGTTAGCTGCCTAAGCACTGATTGTTGGATGGTCACTCTTGTCGCTCCACATTTCAGAACAGATCCTTCTTAACCATTTCCTTAATCGTATTCATTGTGGAATGGAGCATTCAGCACCAAACTTAGCCTTTGAAAGCATTTAAAACACAGATATGTGAGGGGCATAAGGTAGATTCGTAGAGCCCATTTCAAGTATTTTTTTGGCACTGAATTTACCCATCAAATCCAGATTGAGCATTCACAAGTCCTACGCTCCAGGTAAGATACAGTTCTTCATGTGTCTCTTTTGCAAGTTAAAATCAAAATACGAAAATACTAAATTTTATGTTGTTTCTTAACTTTCCATATAGTTAAGTGACTACTCTGAGACTTTTAAAAAATAGCAGATGCTTAAAATGATAACAGCAGCCCTTTCCTTTCTCCTCTATTGTGTCTATTTGGTCCACAGGATCTGGAAGTTTAAAATGCAGAACAACCATCAGTCAGTGTTTGTAAACCCTGAGACCACTTGTTACTTATTTTGAAGTTTCACCCTATCTGGACGCTTTAAAAAGAAAACCTGTAAGTAAAAATACTGTCCTCTGTGTGCATGTTCCCCATATGGCTTCAGTATTCTACTGTTGGCCATGAGAGACTAATACTTATCTCCTACGTCATCTCAGTGTCTTGGAGCAGCCTGGGATTGTTCAGACCCTCTGCTAGTCTGAACGGATAGCAGCAATGTGGGGTGCCCGCGCAGCAGCCAGTTCCTTCACATCCTTGCCAAGAGATAACTCTTCAGTTACCAAGCCCTGTGGTCCTCACTAGTCCTTTCTAGCCCCAAGTAAATCAGGATGTCACTAAGGCAATTTTGGCTATTACTTTTCTTTTTGGAGGGTAGGCAATCAACACTTGATTTGGTATGAACGTGGAATGCAGCCTTGCTTAAGAAACGGGAGGAAAAAAAATGGGAAACTTTGCATTAGTTTCTCTTGCTCTTGGAACAAAGCAAAACACAATGATTCATAATTTCTTGAATCTGGTCAGTTTTGGTTGTCATTGCGTTAGAAACGATGTCATGGAAGATATCATAAGACCCTGTAGGGTCAAGCCTGACGGACCCGCTGACAGGGTATGTATGGCAAAAGAGAGGGCAAGAACCTGGGTCCCTTGTTAAGGTCGCTGATCCACTGCCCCAACAACTAGGGCCACGGGGATGGTTCTTACTGTCTGAGCTGTTCTTAGCTGCTTTCTGTTACGAGCATCTGAAAGCACACCAACCAATTAACATCAAGAACAGCTTGTACTGTTTATGCGTTCTCTTCAGAGATGCTTCGTAGAGATGCCTGCTGCTAACTATAAATATTTGTCCTCAATAAATTGAATTTCCCCCCAAACGTCAACTCTCCTCATGAGCAAATTGTTCTTGCTTTCACCAAGTTTCTTTAATTTACCAGCTACTTTGTGATTTTTTATCCTGTCCTTGTATCGTCTGGACTAAAAGTATTATCTTTCTTTTTTCTTTTACTAATATTAATTTTATCAAAATTTTGAAATGAATACTATCCCATAGTAACAAAGCAGAAAAATGAACAAATCTCACAAACATAAATTTAAATTTTTATTTGATAGTTACATATTTTGATACTTGTATGGTAAAAAAATCACTTATATTTGCACCAGATTTTAGCAACGTAATTGTAGTTTCAAAAATTTAGCTGTGTGTTTCTATGTGTGAATTTTAGCTCATAAAGTTTCAAATTTAAGATATGAAAATGCGAAGAAACATTTAGCATTTTTTCTTTTTGAATCTATTTCAGCTAACATAATAACTTCTAAGTTCATCTATTTTTCTGCAAACATCACCTTATTTTTAGAAATTAAAAGAAGTTTATTGTGTTTGAGAACTGCATACATTGTATTTTGATATTTACCCCCTTCACCTCCCAGATCTACTCCCCCATTCCAATACGTACTCAGCTTCATAACCTCATTTTAAAAGGAACTATCCATTTACTGTTAGGTGTGTGACCATCCTCTGGAGTGTGCTAGACCTCTCAGGGCCACAGGCTTAAAGAAAGATAACTTTGCCTCTCTTGGCAGCTGTTAGCTCCTATGCATTCAATATCATTTCTATAGTTTGTTATCCCCTTTCATTTGTAAATTAGATACTTTTATTTAAGTAGGAACTTTCTGTTTTACCATAAATGGAAAGCCAGTATCATTTGTCTTTCAAGGAAGATTATCATCAAAAGAAATTCCATGGGCAAATTATTACTCTCTTGTCAGATAAAATTATCTGTGAAGACAGAGGCTGTTCTTACTATCGAAAAGAGTGTGACAGATGTGGTAAAATTATTTCACTACCACTTAGGCCTATTTGTTTTCCATAATCAGAAGAACCAAAAGAAAGTGTCCAAGTGGAGTCCTTTACTGTTTAAATGCGTCTAACGTCATGTCAAAGTCATCTAAAGCTACCCGGTAGCCTACTGAGATACTAACTGCCTTCCCGTAGATTCCCCTGCAGAGCCCCTTGTCCCAAGCCGTACCTGCTAGAGTGAAATTCAAAGGGACCCCCCTTCCCCAGGAGAAGAGACAGCCTAGGAAGCAACCCTTAATTGCTCAGATTATAGAAGGTCTTGGAAGCAGTATTGCAATTTATACATATATGTACTTTACACATATCCATATTATACATATACACCATGTATGCAAAAAAAACCCCCAGCAATTTCTGATTCTCTGCATTTCAGTAGTGTTGAAGTCTGTGGACTCATGTGACCCAATGAGAATTTCTGATAAACTATAGCTCTTTTTGCTCAGGCAAAAGCATGACTGCATTCACATGCACCACACACATACACCACTGTAGAGATATGATCATACATGTGCACACATGGAGCTTTCACAGCTCAGAGTTTAGAACTCTAGATAGCATTCTGTATATTTCACAGATACAGTTTGATTCAGTTCACCGAAAACTGTGGTTGGATGTAAAACATGGGTTTTGAACGCACCTGTCAGTGACTAAGAGTGGTGTGTTAATTTAAATGTGCTAAATTGGAGCACTCCTTTCCCCTCCACGGCTGCTTTGAACCGACCTAAGTTTCCCTGGTACTGCCTTTCGAGAGGCTCCAAGAATGAGGTCAAACTCTATAAAAGGAAAATCGACCAACCCTTAAAGCCATCCTCGTGAACTTTAAACACCACTGCGTGTACCTAGTAAAACTGTCTCCGGGCACGTCGAATCCCAGGCTTGGGTGGAGTTCACATGGGTTGTTTTGCTAAAATAAACAAAAATGACTGCGAACATTGGATTGCTTTTGTCTGAACTCGAGTGTCTGGATGGATCAGCACAGTAGTGCACAGCATACCTGTTTGTCAAACCAAAGAGAAACTCAAATAGGCACTTACTCCTTACCGGTGAACACATCAATTCCACAAGGTTGTAATTTGTGGTGGTCCATTTGCTCCTCAAAACCACCCCGCACATTTTCCAGTTGAATAATCCTTCCTTTAAAAGGCATGGGATGAACAACAATGTTAACTAGGCCATTTTAATCTCTAATTTAAAAAGATATTTTAAAATTCAACTGTAGATCTAATAAGACACACTCTCATTTCCAGAACAAATTTCATTTAGTGTATGAAACTAAAAATCATAAACTGAATATATTTCTCAAGTTTTTAATTTAAATTTATTATTATATCGAGATAGTAGTTAATTTCAAGCAATCATAGATGGCTAATTCAAATTTGAAAAGAAATTTGAGTTAAAAGTAATTGACAAACATACTATAGGCATGTATGAAATTCTCAAACCAGAGAAACGTAGTTGAAAAATATCAAAAACTTATCATTTTAACAGGATATATTTTTTTGCACAGCAGATTTTAGAAAAATAGCATAAAAACCGTACAGCAGGTCACAGGCTCATTGCTGCAGCGAACCCCCTTATTTACATTAAGATCCACCCACCAGTTTTCTTCAGTTTCATGTTTGCTCATTCATGAATTGGCCAAAGACCAATATGAAAATTACCAAATGTCTCAAAACGTTTTCTAGCCAGGCAGTGGTAGCACACGCCTTGAATCCCAGCCCACGGGAGGCAGAGGCAGGCAGATTTATGTGAGTTCGAGGCCAACCTGTTCTACAAGAGCTAGTTTCAGGACAGTCTCCAAAGCTACAGAGAAACCCTGTCTCAAAAGAAAAAGAAATGTTTTCTAATGTCAGTAAGAATGAAGTCAATGTGCTTTACTGAGCTTTGAGCTTCATTTTTGTCTCTAGAAGGGTCTTAGATTTACTATCTTAGTAGTACCATGAATTTGTAGCAGCCACAAATGAAATATGAAACTTTCATTACTTTTTATCTTTGAAAATTGCTTTTTCAAGAGCAAACAAAAATTAGCTAAATTTAGTCAAGATGGGCATGTTACACTGAATTGGGCACATAATTTAATTTGATGTCAATTAAATTATAATATTGTCTGTGTGGCCTGTAAAAATGTAAACTCTTTGAGTTGCTTAACTTAAGGAGTGGGTTATCTGTGCCGACATTTTCTCTGCTGATGTTGGAGATAGAAGGTGAGCTTTGTGAAATGCTTTAAGGTATTTTTGATGAATATGTGGGAATGTGATTTTAGCAAGACAAGATGAGCCCCTTTGGGTTATAGAAAATACACAATTCTCTCATTTAATGATCAAAATGTTTGATGTGACCAAGCACACATAGTGTTTGTTGCAAGGGTTGGAGGTTAGGAATAAGCGACACAAGGTAATAAGAATAGGCTGAAAGCTCTTTTTAGGAATCTAGCTGGGCGGTGGTGACACATGCCTTTAATTCCAGCCCTCAGGAGGCAGAGGTAGGCGGATCTCTGTGAGTTTGAGGCCAGCCTGGTCTACAAGAACTAGTTCCAGGACAGCCTCCAAAGCTACAGAGAAACCGTCTCGCAAAACAAAAACAAACAAACAAACGAAAAGAAAACTCCAAATCACTGAGGTCAATATTCTTAATAGTATATAATATATACATGTCTGTATATATGTGTCCAAGCAATATCTTTTATTATTGATTGTATTCTTAATGATTAAGCTGTGTACCATTTACACGAATGCTTCAAATTGGTGATCAACGGCAAATGTTCCCTCACAAATAATCTCCTTAAAGCAAGAGCCAACCTTAAATTTCACTAACCTTAAATTTCAATAATTTCTAGACTTTTCAGAAATCATTTTGGTTCAGTTCAGTAGTCATAGAATGTCTTAGTGTGTGGTCCTGGGGCTACTAATGTAAACTTACCTGAGAACCAGTTTAAAGGTCTAGACTTCTGAGCCTCTGAGCTACATCTCTTTCCCTGTTATCTGAAATTTTGGCAGGTCCCAGCGTCGCTCACACATTAGAAGACTGGAACCATTGTCCCAGAGGTGCAGTCTGGAGACTTCATTTCTGTCACTCAAGGAAGTAGTGAATGACTTTCCCATCTCTATGGTCCTGGAAAACTGCTGTTTTTTTTTTTTTTTTCTTTTTCTTTTTTAACAGGGAAGGGAGAATTGAGTTGTAATTCCTCCAGGACTCCGTCATC